TATCGAACGTCATATTTTTGATGGACACTACTGACAGATTTTACTCCTAGAGAAAATCTTGAGAAGAGAAAACCTATTCCTCTCTTTAATAACTTAAAAAACCTAAAGTAAAATACCCCGCAGGTTTTTCCTTTTTCTCTCGCAAAGTAGTTGTTTCTGATATCAAAGACGACTGACCTTTTTTGATTGTTTCTACAACAATCCGTTTCATCAATAAATCATTTTACAAACAATTAAGGTCAGATTGTGTCGCAATAAGCTTGTAAAAAATGAAAAACAAAGGAATCTCATTTTTAAAATGTTATCTTTGAATTCTGTTTCTGTATGTAGAAAAAAATATGTACACCTCGTGACATTCCCAAATTTAGATTAAACAAAGTATGAATGCGACTGAATCTAGGAAAAGACGAAAATATTTCTCCCCGAATTGAGTTGAGTTGAAAATTGAAAATTCCGTTCGTTAGCCTCAAACCGAGCAATTAAAACTGTCGCTGATGTCAGCACCGTATTTTTTTCTTGTTGGAATTAACAAAACTAAGACGTACGAAACAAAATGTAAATTGGCACTGTTTCAGAATCGTCCTAAAATTATCACGGAGGTCAACGGATTTTCCGTAAATTTTATAAATAATGCGGCACCTCCTCACGGATACAATTTTACCTCCGAATAATAGTTTTTGGCTGATGTACGCGGAAATTCTCCACATACGAACAGCTTTCTGGGTTAATATCTCTATTTTAAGGGGGTTGAACGAAATAAACCACTCAATTAATTCCCCCATGAGCTCCTGTTGATGGTAACTCAAACCACATGTGTAACTGGGAAAATGCCAAACGACAATAAATTTACTTCCTGCTATTAAATTAAGACAAATGAATAAAATATGGCAATTACCAAGTCAAAATGTTAACTATAATCATTATTGGTATCAGCCTATTAATAAATAAATAATCAAACACAGGGATTTCCAATTTCTTTTATTAAAACTACCACGGGTGAGTGCTAAAATTATCATACCAGACTTATGTTTTTTAAGCACCGACTAAATTTTTTTATTGAACCAAGTAAAAAGTGTAGACAAAACAACAAAAATTTAACTGTCACTAAAAAAATTAAATTTCTAATCGGATCAAGAACACACAATCTACATTTATACTTGTAGACGAAAAATGTTTCTCATTTTTGATCATTAATTGGGGTTATTTATTTTTACGATAGGGCTTTTACGCAGTAACTTTTTCGTTATCTAAAAGTTCTAAAAAACGCATAAAATCATTATAAAATCTCCAAATTAAGTTACATATGGCATTATGGGAAATAAGTAATAACTAATAACCCAATAATTTAAACGTTAGTGGATGAGGGTAGGTATTAAGTAGAGATATATATGTAATTTTTACAGATTTTTTAATGAATATTTACAAGTGATATCATTGTCTATTATCAAGGTTATCTAATTTATAGATTTTGGAACCTATGAGTCCTTTAAAATGTTTATAGACTATAAACAGACTTTTAAAGTTTGTTTGATAAAAACTAAAAGGCTCAGGCTTAGGCTCTAAAGGGCTCATTTTTAAGTATACATTATCCTATTTCTATTTGCAATGCAGATAAATGGCAGGCAACCAGATATACATCTGGTTAAAATTTCAAATAATGACAAAGACTTTCACGTAATTATTTTTAGAAATTGAAAATACAAATTCCAACCAAAATCATTGTAGAACTTTCTAGACAGTCACAAGTAAGTGGCCAAAATTATATTTAATTAAAAAAATAGTAAGTGCAATTTTTTTGTGAAGCAATGTAGACGCGGTGACAAATTTGTTTAACAATGTGGCATAACTGGTTTGACGTGAATCAATGTATGGTTTTTGAAGTTTGTTAAATAATTTATCATTACTACTTTCCTTTCTTCAAAGTACACAAAATACACAATTTAACCCAAAGTGAAAAACAGAGTTTTATATTTTTTTATTATTGAAGCAAATTCAAAGATTTTCAAGCTTAATAATTTGTATTAATTTTTTTTTCTGACATTTCCACCGAAATTTATGTACAGTTTCGGAATTAAAATTTCGGGCAGTTCACTGTAAACAACCTTTTACTGTCATCATGACTGACATTTGACAATTAAACTTTTCTATCGATGACGTTATTTTTGAAAGTAAATAGGTAAGTCAAAATCACATAGACCTGACAAGAGTAAAAAATGAGGTTATTAATGTAAAGGTTGTTTTAGAGTTTACATTATGAAAATGACAATACTGCCCGAAATTTTAATTCCGCAACTGTACTACACTGGCGGACACGGAATTTTGGACGATTTGTCATTCGACTGACATAAAAATGTAAAACAGACCTTAGGCAACACTTTCGGTTTTTGTAATTTTTGTCCTGATAGCTAGAGAAAAAATGACAACACATCAAAATAATTTATTGAACTTATATTAAAACACGTATTATTGTTTCGGAAAATCGACGCCAAAAACAAATTTCAACTAAAAATTTCAAAATTTAGTTTCAAACCTCAATCATAATGACAATAAAGCGTGGCTTACATTGACATTTTTTAAACCAATGACCAAAATTCCGTGTCCGACAGTGTACAGGGTGCTGCATTTTGGAGTCCGAATAGGGAATCTCCGAAACTAAGATGTTTAGCTAAAAACGAGTGATACATTCGGGGCTCACTTTTTAAGAAAATAATATTGGTTAAAACCGCATCCCGCTATCGTCTTTTATTTTCGACTAACAGTCAAAAGTTGACATTTTGGCGAAATCTAAAAAAATTCATATCTTCGTTATTCCGTCTAAATCCCACTTTAGAAGTATTGGGAGTTGGAATAATCGTATTTGTTTGAAAATTGGTACATGGCCATAAACCATTAAGTCCTCCTAAATGAAAATATTTTCAAGATGTCGGCACTTCCGGTTATACCGGAAGTCGGTCTCAACTTTCTTATTTTAAATGGAAAGGTATATTTTTTACTGCGTTTTTGGATTAACTGGGTTATTTTAAGGGAGTTTTCATCAGCTTGCCCTATACCTAAATTTAGCCATTTTTTAAATATTTGGAGTTTTTCAAAAATTTTTGGATCTGCACCTTCCACTTTAAAAATCGGTAACTCTGCTATTTTTTTAAATTTTGAATTCGTTTTTTTGCGTTTGAAAAAGAAAGTTTAGATCTTTCTTTCGGTGTTTTCAAATTTTGAAAAAAAATTAACAAACCATAAAATTTTAAGGTTACTTTTGTAATAATTCAAATACCCATAACTCAGTTTTTTCAAATGAAATACCCCAATTTTTATTTTACTAAATGGAGGAGAATTTAATTCTGCATCGATCTGTATTAACATTTCCTATACCTAAATTTAATAATTTTTAAGTTATGGTGACTTTTTGTTGAGACTGCCGAAAATCTGTTATTAGCCACATTCGTTTTCGTATAGTTTGCTATGGAAATAAAAAATGTCAAAATTGTTTCTCAATAAATGTCGACAGTGACTTATTATTTGACAAATAGTGCCAAAATATGAAGAGTCAAAGCTACTCAAACTTAGATTTAATTAATTTATTTTGTATTTATGGAGAGTGTAACAAAATTATGATATCGTTCATTAAACAAAAATAAGTTTTTCTCACTTGTTAGCTTTAAATAATGATTGCATGGTAGAACCTATCAATAATAATTAAGTTTGCATAACTTTGATTCTCTATATTTTGGTACTATTTGGCAAATAATAAATCACTGTCGACGTTTACTAAGAAACAATTTTGACATTTTTGATTTCCATAGCAAACTATGTGAAAACGGGTATGGCTAGTAATAAATTTTCTGTAGTATTAAAAAAAGTCCACTTGAAAATTATTAGATTTAGGTATAGGGAATGTTAATACAGATCAATTAAATTCTCTTCTATTTAGTAAAATAAAAATTGGGGTATTTCATTTGAAAAAATTGAATTATGAGTATTTGAATTATTACAAAAGGTAACCTTAAAATTTTGGGATGTTATTTTTTTTTTTCAAAATTTGAAAACACCATGTCTTTATTTCAAATCAGTATCTTCTATAACAACGAAGATATGATTTTTTTTTAGATTTCGCCAAAATGTCAACTATAAGTAAGTCGAAAACAGAAGACGATAGCGGGATGCGGTTTTAACCAATATTATTTTCTCAAAAAATGAGCCCCAGAATGTATTACTCGTTTTTGGCTAAACCTCTTAGTTTCCGAGATTCCCTATTCGTACATCCAAAATGCAGCACCCTGTACATATTTTATACGCAATCACATAATCTTTAAATAATCAAATAATTGTTTTTCTGTCAAAGTTGATGCATTGACATAATTACCATGCCAACAAGTTGAGTTTTTAACATTTGAAGGCTCGTAGCCTTGGTAATCGTTCATAAATTATTTTCCAACCACGGGATGTAATGACAAATTTCGCGACCTCCAAAAGATTAGGAACCGGCATATTTGGTAACGCCAGCAATCATCAAAAAAGATCACTATTTCTGGACGCGAGCCCGTCTTGCCCCCCTTCGCAGTTCCACGTGCGGTTTTATCACCTTGAAAACGCCGGTTTACACTTTACTACGCCTTAACACAGGAAAACAACAACCAATTCCAGGTGATAGTATTTTATCAAAAATCCTTCAAGGTCAAATAAATAAAACAGCGGAGCGGTTAAATCGTGACTGTACTTTTGGAGATTCTTGTACATTACGCTGCTGGCTTACTGTAACTTTTGCTTTCAATAAAACACACCGCAGAGATTCAACTATAAATAGCATCTCAGTCGATACATATCAGTGACGATGAAATTTTCTTCCATTTACTGAATATTGCGTGAGGGGCTATCACGTGTCTTTATGTAAATAGTGAGAAATTACTTACCGACTCAGACAACACTTTCAGGCCCGCCATCTTACCCACAACAAACTAGATTCCGCGCATGCGTATTAAAGAGGAGGTAAAAAAAGACTTGGGATTTTAAAAGAAATTATATTTTTTTAAATCATTAGGTAAAATAAAAGTGTTATGATGTATACAGTCAATTACCCATCCGATTTTTTCTTCTTTTTGTGTTTCGCAGGGCTGTCGATTTCACTCTTCACCTTATTTAAAATGTCGAAAATTAACGAATTGGTGGCTACTTCCTCCTCTTCCTTTTCTTGTTTAATCTTCTTGATCTTCTTCTTAGGCGACGTTGCCTCACTTTCCACGGAATCGCGTCGCTTTTTCCCTAATGCCTCATCTGTCTCTTCTTTTTCCAATTTTATCTTCTTCTTTTTCTTCTTCACACTTTGCTCATTCTCTTCACGACTCTGAGAGTTAGCTGGCGATTGTTCTCTTTCAATTTCATGATCTTCTTTACTAGTGATTCCACTAACGTCAAAATCAAAAAGTGGTAAATGTAAACCTGGTACTACCGTACTGTTAATCAGATTGTTGTGCTTTTTCTCAAGTTTCTTTTCTTGCAAACTGTTATTACCAAAAAATGATTCATCATGTGAAGTACTTGAATGTTTTCTACTTTTTTCATGGACTGAATCATCTTTTTCTGTTTTCACACTCGTATTAAACTTCTGCTTTTGACCGTTATTGATCATTTTACTGCTACCTCCAATTTCATTCATAAAATCAAAATTTAAAGCAAATTCATTGGTTGCAGAAACGCCTTCATTAATGCTACTTTTACGTTTCTTTTTCTTTTCATTTTTGTCCTCTTGATGGTCTGTAAATACTTTATGTGTTTTCTTCTTCTTTTCTTCTACAGGAGACTCAATTGTCTCATCTACTTCATTTTTGTCCTCTTGATAGTCTGTAAAGACTTTATGCCTTTTCTTCTTCTTTTCTTCTGTAGGAGACTCCAATGGTTCATCTACTTCAGAGACCAGTTCATGTTTAATTTTCTTCTCTCTGCTCTCGTGTTTTTTCTTCTTTTTTTCCCCGATGTGTGAGCTCAGAGCTTCGAAGAACGACTCATTTTGTTCTTCTACAGACGTGATTGATTCTTGTTTAATTTGATTTTTATCTTTCTTCACTTTCTCTGAATTGAGCGTTTCGTCTTTGTGTTTTTTCTTTTTCATTTTTTTTAAAGCTTTCTCAATCGTATTGTCCAACTTTCTTTGTACTTCTTCACTTAGTGTTATTTTCTGTTTGTATTCAACTCCAAAAAGTGGATGTCTAACTTTGATTTTCTCCGGTAAGGCGAGTTTACATTTATCTACATTCACAAACTTGTCTTCGCGTTTCTCTTTATGGTATTCGCGCAGTTTTAGATTCGCTACTGGACGAATCATTTTGATGTTGCGACTAACTAAATTAATTGGCTTAATGTCTTCAAATGTGGGCTCAATGACGTATTTCTGACCACCGAGTTTGAGTTTCGTTTTTTTCTCAAAATTAATTAATTTTCCAATGAAGCAATCCGAATCGATTGTGTTTGGTACTTCCAGTATGCAAATATCATCATCTTCTGAAACAACATCGTCCAAAGTAATCTTCTCGTATTCAGGGTGTTGGGCAATGAAGTCTTTAAGGGGGCTTGAGGAAGACTACAAAAACACACTTTATATTGAATGACGGAATTTATAAATTATACTTTTTTCTTCGGACTTGTGGAGACTTTTTCCCTTGATTTTGCTGGTGTGGGGGACGTCTGAGCCTCCTCTGATTCTGAGACGCTAGGTGAAGGTGAGCTTGATTTCGTTTGAATATTTGCTATTGTGCTTGTTGCGTCGTCTGCTTCTGATGATTCTGCACTTTCCGAAATTTCAGAATGGCTGTGTTTTTTCATTTTAAATAATATATTAATTTTTGGAAAACTGAGAAAAATTGAGGTTAGGTCATCGTCAAGAAAACACGCCACAGAAATAATTTTTAGTTGCACAAGCCATGGTGTATTATTGGTTGCATGACTCAAGGTGCATAAACCTCAATTTCCATTTTCAAAATATGTCTACAATATTGTTCAAAACCCGTCAACTCGTATTAGACAAAGCGATTAAAACATTTTAATGCAAATTCATAAATAATTTTTTTGATCCACCGTCCAGAAACAGACCTTGTATTTTTTCTTGAAATTCATTGTTTTATTTAAACCCACCGAAATATCCAATTTAAAAAAACTAAGAACAAAATTAAAAGAACGAACGCAGCGAATGAGTGTCTTTAATTATTTTATTATCAGAATTATTAATCGCCCATTGCTTACGAATTAGTTTCACTATTTCTTGGTTCAAAGCAAACATTTTTAATGTTTTGAAATCAAATTAATGACCGATTTGTTACCTCGTGGCATCATTTTAAATAATAATCTGTATTCAAAAAAACAGTTGGTGCAATAAAAGATGCATAATTATGGAAATTAGTTGTATTTAAAATAAATTATAATCTATAACAAAATGACCAAAACACACAACCGTTTGCATGAAAATGATGCAAGTATGTAAATACCAGACGTGTCTTACGGAGCGCCATTCACAAATATCAACATCCATAAAATGCAGGGGAACTAAATGTGAATATACAATGAAAAAATTTGTAATATTATCTTAAAAAGTTCTTAGTACAAAAAATTGATCACTTGATCTACAAAGTGACATCATTATAAGACAAAACATTAACTGTCGCATTTTGAAACTAAATCTACACCTGTAAAGAACAATTCCGACAATTAATGTTTACAATTAACAAGAAAATCACAATATCAGTCAAGCTTTCGCTGACGATATTTCGATTGCTTTAAAATAGAAGGGCCCCCATGCCGCCCATATCGCTTTGTTCCTTAACGAAAATTTCAAAGTACTGGTAAATAATAGTGACAGCTAACAAAATACCGGTGCCTGATCCAATAGCACCCAAGAAATCCGCCAAAACGGACAAAGCTCCAATACATAGTCCACCAAAAGCTGCAGCTGTTGGGATATACCGATTCAACTCGTGAATCATCGAGTTGTCTCGGTGCCCTCTCATGACCATTTGCTGCTCCTTCAACTGTTTCGCAACATCTTTCGCCGAACTTCCGGAAACTTCAATCCACGTCTTGGAGAAGAAGGCACAAGAACCTAACATAAACACGATGTATAAGAGCGCATGGATGGGGTCTTCAAGGATGTGGCCGACGCTTTCTGGGGGCGATAAGTAGTAACACAGGCCGCCAATTGGGTAAGACCGAGCTGGGCCACCGCCACCAACATCAGCCCAAACTCCCAACAAGTTGATAAGGAAGTTCCCTTGAAATTTAACCGCCAACATTTGCGAAATCACGTACAAATTAGAAACCAGAGCTGATTGCAAAATGATAGGAATATTGGACGTGTAGAAGAGTTTGATTGGATAGCTGGAATACTGGCCACGATATCTAGCACTCTTGATGGGCAAATCCACTCTGAACCCTTGGAAGTATATCACTATAGCAAACACGAGAACTGTAGCTAACAGATTCATCAAATTGGGTAAATTCTGTCTGTAGAAGGCTTCACGAAGCGCTCGAATTTTATCTTGACGAGTGGTTAGTAAATGGAAGAGAGCGATTACAGCGCCCTCGAATTCTGTTCCTCTTCCAGTGTTAACAGTGGCCGGCGAGAATGCTTTCCAAATGATGGTTTCACAGATGTTTGTCGCAATGAAGAGAGAAATGCCCGAACCGAGACCGTAGCCTTTTTGGAGGAGCTCGTCGAGGAGCAGGACTATGAGACCAGCCACAAACAACTGAATTATGATCAAGAGACACACACCGGCGCCTATCTCAGCAGGGTCCCCGTACATGCCGGTCATCACGTACACGATGGCTTGGCCCACAGTGATCACCATACCAAATACTGCAACAAACAAAAAATCCCGTAAAAACTCAATTTTTCGATAAAAAATGAGGTTATACAGGCTGTATTATGAAAAACGCCCTAAGCCATAGCTCCATTATTTTTAAACTTTTGACAATACTTCTTAGAACAAAGTTGAACATTTTTTGTCATCTATCGTTTAGGATAGATGCTAAATTAATGCTGTTTTCTGTTTCACCGGAAATGACATCAACTTTTTTTTTTTAATGAAACACCCTGTATATTTTACCACTTTTGGATTCTTTGCTTAATTGTCTTTTAACAAGTTTTAGTACCATATGCCTAAAACTAACCGTTCGTGAGATATTCACCAAATAATGTATTTATTAAAGTAGGCAGTGGAAAACAATAATATCAAGTAATGTTGACAAATATTATTCCTTTGCATTTTCTCTTACTGTTTTTATATTTTTTAATGTTAATCATGGATGATAATGTGTTAGCAGACATATTTTGAATAAAATAAAAATTGTGGGAGAGCACTACGCTTTTACACTGGGTGATTTCTGATGAGAGACGTTCCAAATCGTCGAAAATTTAAGCGACTTAAAGAAAATTTGAGGATGTTTTGGGCTTTTAGAAAACCCAAATTAAAACATCTCCAATTTCAAAGAGATACAGAATTAGATATGTATTAAAGAAAATGCAAGAACATGAATTCAAGAAATTGCAAGTAACGTTGGCTTATCACACGCAACTGTTCTAATTTGGGTTTTCTAAAAATCCCAAACATCCTCAAATTTTCTTCAGGTCGACGAATTGGAACTACTCTTATTGGAAACCGCCCAGTGTAAAGGCGTTGTGGTCTCCAACTAGTTTTATTGCTTTCAAAATATTCTTGAATCATGTCTGTTAACACATTATCACCAGAACACCAAAAAGTATAAAAATAATAAGAGAAAATGCACAGTAATAATATTTGTTAACATTACTTAATATTATTGTTTTCCACTGCCTACTTTAATAAATTTTTAATTGACTCATATCTCACGAACGGTTGGTTTTAGGCACATGGTACTAAAACTTGTTAAAAGACAATTAAACAAAGAATCCAAAAGTGGTAAAATATACAGGGTGTTCCATTAAAAAAATAAAGTTGATGTCATTTCCGGTGAAACAGAAAACAGCATTAATTTAGCATCTATCCCAAACAATAGATGACAAAAAATGTTCAACTTTGTTCTAAGAAGTATTGTCATAATTTTAAAAATAATGGAGTTATGGCTTGGGGCGTTTTTCATAATACAGCCTGTATAAACTGTGACTTTGTAATTAAGTTGCCCACAATCAATAATAATAGTAAAAAACTACTGGTTAGAGAACAGTTTTATTTAATGAGAGGTGATTTTAAGCCTCCAGCCCATTATACTGTGCGATCAAAAAAAAAATAAATTAGAGTAGGCGGCGATTAAAGTTCTTCAGATGGCAATCCTGATTTTTGACATCAAGTGACAGCGGAAACTTTGCCAAGTTTGCGTTTTATTCCTTTTGAGTGAAATAATGTTCACTTTAGAGCAGAAAATTTTTATTGCCGTACAAGAGGAAAACGGTGGATGGTCTTTTTCACTTTTAGGTTGTGTGGAAAATTTCCAGCTCAGATTCCCAGCCAATGTGTTGCCAACTGTAGAATTTAATCGACGCCTGCTCTAATTTATTTTTTATTTGATTGGATGGTAGCTCTTGGTCAATAATAGACGATTATTGACCACTAGAATAGAGAAACAACTACACAACGTCTCAAGAAACTAAATAGTGATACTTTTTACAATTAGTGGTGAAAAAATTCTTACACTTTTGTGCGCCATTGAATAAAGCCCGATCTTTTGGCGTGTCCCCCACTTCAATGATTTTTGCTCCTGCTAGAAGCTGCATAATCAGTCCGGAAGTTACGATCGGGGAAATACCCAACTCCATCAACGTGCCTCTATTTGACGCTAAAATTACACGTATCCAATAGAAAGGGTCAGCTGAGTCTGAACTCATAATGCCAAAAAGTGGAATCTACAAAAAATCTATTATTTTTCTGCGATTTGACCAAGTAAAATGATAAAATACCTGACAACATACGAGAAAGATGAAGAGTGTGATAGCAGTCCATAGTACTTTCTCCCTGAATTGAATCTGTAACATCCAGAAAGTGCCACATGTCAAGGAACAGCTGTTAGAATTATATGAATGAAAAGTGGTAGAGAATTGAAATTTTTGCGTGTAGGACGCTGACTCAGTCACTAAATTACAATTCTCGCGTGGAAAACTTGAGTAATTTTCAGAAAGTTGTTGGAAAACTCACCTTTCTTTCAGGCTTGGCTATTTCGGGCAGGATACTGCAGAACGGTTTGATTACTTCTAAAAATTTGACTGAAAAAGAGACACAGATTAGGTAATCAAGCGTGGAAAACGAAATTGGGGTCATGGGGCGTAAATACGAGCACGGGGGTTGTGCTCATAATTACAGAAATAAATATAAATATAAATGAAGGTTAGTTGAATTTGTACTCACTTCCCATGTTGATGGGCGATGAATTAAACTAAAAGGATCACAGATTCACTTCGGATAGTCTAATTTGTACGATGTCACGTCAAATAAGTGGCCAAGTCCCGATTTACGGTACTTTGTGAGAGCGATTTTGGTTACACGGCAGACACGTAGCAAGAAATACCGGTCACGTGACCGATGATGTTGGCGATAGTTTTTGAGAATGACGGTAGAGGCGCTGAAAATGGTGAACGTCATCGTTTTGTGTTATTTGTGCCCATGGCTAACTGGATTCCTGATGGACAATAATAATAGACTGTTTTTGGTTGAAATTTTTTGTTGCTACAATAATTTTTAACACTCACGCTTGTCATTTGGCATTTCTGATTTTCAAGTTAGGCGAAAGCAATTATTTATTGTGATTTTTTACACGGCTTTCCAGAAATCGATTCTCCAAATTAGTATTAAGGGTTGCCTATTTTATAAAAAAATTAGATGCGTTTATTCTTCTTGTAAAAAAAAACACAATAATGTAGATTGAAGATTAAAAACATGCATTTTTTATTTTATGAATTCTACTAAACATTTTTGAATATACAATGCAGTGTTTCCAGGTTTGGTGCTTTTCACGCTTTATGTCGTGCCAACGTGCCATTTCATTCGTCATTCTGTCACTTTTCATAATGTTTTATTCACTGATTTTATCTGTATGAAAAAGTGGGATTATTTTGGCACTAAATTTGTTAGTAGGGTCCAGTTGTTACACAGATTTCTCTTTTACACATCAATCAAATGTTTTTGATCTATTTCACCTATAGTTGCGACGTTGCCACTCAGGCGTTTGAAATGGCACGAGGTTTTCGCCTTGCTTTTTTGGAAATGGAAAACTTCGTTTTTGGATTATAACAAAAACTAATACACTAATTAATTAATTTTTTAATTATTGATATAGTAAATTAGATCAAAAATAAATGATAGGGACTATTTTTCAAACATTGCACAATCATAAACTTGTTTATTTTGCCAAATTAAAAAAAAAATTACACCAAATTGGAAAATGACAATTTTTTGTCTTTTTCGAATGCTTAGTCATTAACTCTTTCAGGTACACACTTTAATGTATTTAAAATACCGTACAGGTACAGCTATTTACTGGATTTTAAAAGTAATCATTTTTCAAGTTGTTTTAAAAAATAGGTATTAACATAGCACTAACGACAGTTTTTCATCAGTCTATGACCAATTATTGAAAACAAAAGCAAACTAAATAATACGTACGATAGCTAACAAAAGTTATTATTTTTTGTAATAATATGCTTGAAAGCAGTTTTTCTGTTTGCCTTAACAAAGAGACACTCTACAAGTTACACACTGGCAGTTACTTCGAGACTCTTGTTGCTTGGTGTTACATAATGCAAGTATCAACGAAATAGAAAAAAATTCAGTGCCACCATTTATGACTTTTTCAATTGAGTACAGTGACGGACAGTGAATTTTGTCCAACCAATTTCCATGACAGAGTAAAAGTGTAAATTAGTGTTTAGGTTTTTCTAACCTTGTTTGAGAACTTTGATGAACATTTATCATGTTGATAAAATGCCCGATATTCCTTATATACTTTTTACCTGTGCTTTGTCTTACATTGCTTGAGGTATAGTACCAATCCATTTTTAGACGGTCCAAAATGAATAAGAATTTAATTAAACTTGACAGTGTCAGTTATCATGACAATAAAGCACAGGCTACAGTGAATTTTTGTGAATTCACAGAAATTGGGAGGAAGAAATGAAAATTTTATCAATGTAATGTTAAGCGAATGTGGTTACCTAAATAGGTTGGAAATGCTCAATGACGTCACGATGCCTACTAGTCGAAATGCATGATAAACCCAAGGATCGTAATTCTAATCCCAATGAAAGAATTTTTTTTGTTTTGTTTTTTTTCCTCTTTGTATTTATAATAATCATTATCCATTATGTGTATATTCTCAAAAAACAATTCAGTTTTTTTTTAAGTTAAAATAAGTATTATAAAAATGTAGGTATTTCAAACTAATTAATAAATTGTATAGTTTTCATAATAATTTTAAGTTCATTGATTGTAAATAAAAAAATGTGGTAAACTCTACAAGAATAATGTCTGTATTATTAAAAATATCACCATTAATGAGCATAACTGCTCAAAAATAGAAATTAAGGTGAGTTAAAAAGGTGGGTTAAATTTTAACCCACCGTCCCTGAAAGAGAGGCACATTTTTCAACTGGTACCACAATTATTTAGCAAAATTTCATTAGAAACACGTCATAAATTTAACAAACTACACTAAAAATGGAGTTATGTTTGCCTTTTTTAAGTGTTTCAAAGGTGCACTTTTTTGAAATAAGAATCAGACTAAAAAATTACAAAATTAAATTGATATTATTTTTAGCTTGTGTTGCTGGACTTAGGTATTATGTTTTTGAATCAGAAACTCATTTATTTTGAAAAATCTTGCCCAAACACCAATCACAAAAATAATTGATTTTGATGGTTTTTTTTTAACAACAAAAAACTAACAAATTAAGTCAAAAATTGAGTTATTTTTGTGCTTTTTGAGCGTTTTAGCACGTTTATTGCCGAAAACGCAATAATTTTGCAAAATTTTATTAAAATCAAGCCGAAAAATCAAAAAAATGGCCGAAAACTATGTTTTTGCCGGTTTTTGCTTTTCCAAGAGTTTAATGGGAAAAAATAAAGTAAACTTTGGACAATTAGAAAGATTTAAATTGTAATTTCCCAATCTGGTGAATTTTATTTTTTGAGCTGGCCATCTTGCCACTGTCAAAAACACGCTCTTTAAGGTTAGGTCAGAGCGGTTACGTCAGAATGAACCAAAAAAACATTTTTTAATGTAAGTTAGGCAGTTTTTAGGATTCATTCCATTTTTTTTTTGAGTTATTACACAGTATTACGTAACATGTTCATAAATGAAAAGATTGTGATTCTCTACGGTTCACAATCGGGCAATGCCCAAGATTTGGCTGAACGAATTTGGCGAGAATCGAAACGTTTCCACTTCAAAAGTACTGTAAAATCTATGGACGATTACAATGTTTTAGAACTAGTCAGTGAGCAGTGTGTGATTTTTGTATGTTCAACCACTGGTCAAGGCGAAGAGCCCGACAACATGAAGCAGTTTTGGAGGTTTCTGTTGCGGAGGAGTCTACCAACCGACTCTCTAGTCAATTTAAAGTAAGGAAATTATTTTTTGTCAGATATATTGATTTGGGGTCATTTCTAGATACGCTGTATTCGGATTGGGGGATTCTAGTTATACAAAGTTTAATTTCGCCGCAAAACGGTTACATAAGAGGTTGTTACAATTGGGAGGTCAGTCTTTGGTGTCTTTGGGTTTGGGCGATGACCAACACGATTTGGGGTATGACGCGGCCGCTGATCCTTGGATAGAGTCCTTGTGGGCGAAATTACTCCTCATTTACCCCCTACCTACAGGTGTTCAACCTTTGCCAAAAAACCTCCCAATTGTGCCCCGGTAAAACACAAAAAACGAATTACTTTATAGATAATTCATTGATTCCAGTTGGAGTGTCCAAAGTTCAAGTTTGAGTCAAAACCTCGCAAATAAACCCCAATCAATTTACCACCCCATTCGCCAACCTGACGATTTCACAGTCACTGTTATAGAAAACGAGAGGACCACCCATCCTGACCACTTCCAAGATGTCCGACTTATTAAACTACAAACCGACGGCCAGGAGTATTCCCCCGGTGATGTCGTCCTTTTACGCCCCAAAAACCTGCCTTGGCAAGTCGAAACGTTCCAAAATTTGCTCAAATCCCACAATTTACACTTCGATTTGACCTTAAAAGTCACCCAAAACGACCCCGACATTCCCGTCCCCGGTGTTTTAAACCAACAATTGACGTTTCAACAACTATGTGAGGAATATTTCGACCTAATGTCAATCCCAAGAAGGCACATTTTCAATATTTTGGCCCAGATCACAGACAGTGAGTTGGAGAAAGAGAAATGTCAGGAATTCACAACAGCTGAAGGCCAGGACGACCTCTACACCTACTGTAATCGTCCTAAAAGGAACATCGTTGAAGTCCTACAGGACTTCCCCCACGCCACCAAAAACCTCACCAAGGAACTCCTCTTCGAGATTTTACCACCAATCAAACCGCGTGAATTCTCAATTGCGAGTAGCAGTAAAATGCACCGAAACCAAATCCACATTCTCCTTGCTGTCGTGAAATACAAAACCAAGTTGGTGAAGGAGAGGTTCGGCTTGTGCTCGAATTATTTAGCCGAGTTACAACCGGGGGATCAAGTGGGCGCGAGGCTCAAGAAAGGGAGTTTCCGTTTTCCGGCGTCAGTAAGTGAAAACACAAGGCTACAAAAATAAAGTCATGTCGTGACAACTTGACAAATTTTATATCATTTTGTTAGTCTTAGTGAGACAAATCAAATGCACTAAAATTTTTTTTTAAAAGTCCACACACTTTGAACTAATTAATTTTTTTCTAATTTAAATAAATTTAAAATACTTTAACTTTAAAAAATCATTACTCAATGACTATTAGGCCGATTCCCTTCAAATAAAGACCATTCTAAAGGGAAGGTTTTGCCCTTTAGGATGATATGAAATTTGAAGTTGAATATTGGCAAACTTTTCTTCGAACAGTGTTCGAAAAAGTTCGAAGTAAATCGAAATAATCTAAGAAAAACCCTACGAGTAAATTTTTTTCATCATTACCATCGTCAACTTCAAAAAATCATATCTTGAAAACTACTTGGTATATTCTTTTGAAAATTTGGATTACAACTAATAAAGAGGTGCTCTACACTCTCTGGTAATGATGAAAAAAAAATTTACTCAAAGGGTTTTTCTTAGATTATTTCGATTTACTTCGAACTTTTTCGAACACTGTTCGAAGAAAAGTTTGCCAATATTCAATTTCAAATTTTATATCGTCCTAAAGGGCAAAACCTTCCCTTTAGAATGGTCTTTATTTGAAGGAAATCGGCCTAATAGTTATTGAGTAATGATTTTTTAAAGTTAAAGTATTTTAAATTCATTTAAATTAGAAAAAAATTAATTAGTTCAAAGTATGTGGACTTTTTGAATTTTTTTTGTGCATTTGATGTGTCTCACTGAGACGAACAAAATGATATAAAATTTGTCAAGTTGTCACGCCATGACTTTATTTTTGTCGCCTTGTGAAAGCACACAAAAAAATAACAAATTAAACTTGAAAAATAGGACGTTCCCGTGATCATGGTTGGCCCCGGCACCGGTGTCGCCCCCTTCCGGAACTTCATTTACGACCAAGTTAGCGAAGGTGTGGCTTCCAAGCGCAATCTGCTGTTGTTTTTCGGGTGTCGCAACTCGAATTACGATTTTCATTGCAAGGAGGACTTTCTCAGTTTGCAAAGAATGGGGCTATTAAATCTCGTTCCGGCCTATTCCAGGGAGCAGGAGCATAAAGTGTAATTTTTTTTTAGTGAAGGGAGTTTTTTTTAATTGTTGTTTGTAGTTATGTTCAGCACAAAATTTTAGAAAATTCGGATTTAGTGTGGGACTTTTTGCAACGCAATGGTCAGATTTTCATAGCCGGAAATGCGAAATTGATGCCACAGGAAGTAAGACAAGCGTTTGTTTCAGTGTGTGAGGAGAGAATGAGCAAAGAACAAGCCGAGAGGTTTATTGAAATGATGGAGAAACAAGGTAGGTACCAGACGGAGTGCTGGTCGTGATATTTTAGTTCAATTTTATTGTGTTTAAAATTGTTTAATAAATGTTTTGTTACTGTTTATTGTATTTTATGACCTTGAGCGTATCTGTGATAAAATATTAAACTTTTTGTTGAAAAATTTTCACTCGTTTTTATTTTGCTAATTACGACTAAAGTATATTAAAAACGGTTTATGTTTTGTACTATACCTATGTAAAATGTTCTGGGGAATCGATTGACGTCGAGAAAACCACAAAATTCTTGGTGGTTTAGAAGTTATTGCCGAATTAATATTTTTGCTATTTTTGGGTTTACCAGTGATTTTCTCAATAACTGTTTATGGCAAAACTATATATTTTTTTATAATATAGGAAATTAAAAGTGCTTTTTAACGATACCAAACATAAGACAGTTATTGAAAAAAATTCAAAGCTATTAGCTGATATTCGCCCCGGGTACCGAAAATCGCCGAAAATTTTGACCAAAATCGAAAAAATTTAAATTTTCAAAATTCAACCATATGCACTTCTAGGGGTCCAAGAGGCTTAGAAAAGTGCAAAAATGTGTATAAAACGTTATAGGGTTGAGTTTAAAAAAAGTCGATTTTTTTTGGTTTTTCCAAGTTGTATCGTGAAAATGGTCGAACAGCTTTTTGTCGCGAAAACACTTGAAATGTGGTGTTCTAGACGTAAAATTATACGCTGAACACGATACAACTGGTTAAAATACTCTGCGATGCATAGTTTTTGAGATATTGAGTAATAAAGTTAAGAATAAGGCTTTTGATTCTTATAAAAAACTAGTCCTATTATAAAAACTAGTAAAATTAACCGGAGAATACGCCTGTACAAACCGTTTTGACCTAGGACTCATAGTTTTTGAGATATGATTTTTTTTACGAAAAACTCTAAAAATGGCTCTGTACCCGGAACCATACCCCGGAGCGATTTCCGGTTTGCGTCATTACATAGATAATTTATAGTAGATTTTAATGGTTTTTAACTTTTTGCTCTACTAAGTCTTATAGTTTCGTAAAAAAACGCATTTTAAGTATCACGATTTTCGAAAATTTTTACTTTTTGAAAGACGATTACGGCTAAACCATTATACTTAGAGAAAAAAGCTCAACACCATTGTAATCAACGTAAGAAAATCTACCGATTGACGCCAATGCCAAGTCAATATTCAAAAATGTTTACTTGTTTTTATTTTGTTAATTCCGGCTAAAGTATATTGAAAACGGTTTATGTTTTGTATTATATCTATGTAAAATGTTCCGGGAAATCGATTGGCGTCGAGAAAACGGCAAAATTCTTATTAGTTTAGAAGTTTAGTTGAGTATAGTAAAATCGTTTTCATAAGACCTACTAAAATTTTTATTACTTTTAAGTTAAATGCCGTGTTGTTAAGAGTAAACCAGAGGGTAAACAAATCATAAATTAGTGGAACCCACCCGGACCGAGAAACCAAGGAAACATGTCAGTTATAACAGGGCCGAATTACTTAACTTTCTTTCCGTATAAAATACTTGAAATATTTTAATAGTTTTTGATGTAGTTGTTATTAATGTCAAGTATTTTAAGAAATTTAAAAAAGCCAGGTGGTTATTAAAAAGCTATTATTAAATAAAGCAGATTTTTTTTACATAATAGCTTGGTAAAACTCTACCACTACTTTGGTTTTAAATACGGCCCTGTTTTGTTCTGGTTTATGAAGGGTTACAAATTCAAGCCATTGTTTGGTTAATCCCTTATAATGTGTCATAAAATTTTTAGTAGGTCGTAGGAAAACGATTTTACTATATAGATTTTGCCAACTTTTGTCTTTACTAGCGATTTTTTCAATAAGTATTCATTGCAGAACATTGATTTTTTTTCCTAAGGCAGCACATTGAAAGTGCTTTCTAACGGTAATGAATAGTGGTAATAGTTTCGGAGTTAGCTCCGTGTATTGAAAATCGACCAAAATTTTGATAAAAAACAAAAAAATTGAAAACTTTAGAATTGATTTAAATGGATCTAAGAGTTTCAGAAAGGAGCATCAAACGTTGGAAAAACGAAAAAAATATTTTTTAATTTTTTTTATGACCTATTAGATAAAAACAGATGCAGTGGCTGGTAGCGTGGTATCGCAGGGTCCTCAGGTTTTCTCCGGAGGCTAGGGAGGTATTATAGGTAAGGTTCGGGATTCTAATAATATAAGCATAATAAGACAGCATAAAATAAAAGCTTTTTTACTGTATTTATTTTTATTTTTCTAAACTAATTAATAATTATGTATTGTTACATTTAGATTAGATTTAGAACAACTGTTCTTACCTTTAATGAACTGGTAGTTGTTTAAAACTCATCTATTAATTTAATTAATTTTTTTAATAAATAAATAAATCAGTGAAAAATACTTTGGAGTTACATCTAAAAAATTGTTGGCCTGCCCTTTTTTTATTTTTCAAATTTATTTATCAAGTCCTCACAATTTATTTAAAATAAAATTTGTAGCTTTATTTTGAATAATTATAGATTATTTTCTGGGTGAGTTCAGGTCAGAATTTAATTTTTGTAAACTTTTTTTAGTATAAAGTCTACTATTGAATATTTTTTTTTAATAAGAACTGTAAAAATTGGTAACAAAGACAAAGTCAGGTCAAAGTTCAACCTTTATTGTATTCACAATACATACAGAAACATAATGAGCGTTAGAATCAACCCCAGGGGTTGAGCTGGACATACTTTGGGGCTGCAACCCAGGCCACATGTTGGGCGCCATTGCGATCATTGGCTGCAGCAACCGCAGCACTGGTGGCCGACAAAGACCCATCTTTCCCAGCATTGGCCTGCTTGAGGGTCACCGAATTGGAGTGTTGCAACGCTGCCAGTTTCCTCGCAGTGTCATCTGCAACCCAAAACTCACCCAACTGTCTTTCTTTCGAAGAACTCACCACTCCGTTGGACTTCCGCGGCCGCGGCAGCCGCACTCTTCTGGATAACAACAGCGGCGTGCGCCTCCTTCGCCGCGGCGATCTTCTGCAACTCGGCCACCTCGGCCTTGGCGTGCGCCAGCCGCTGTTGGGCCTGGATGAGCGCATTGGCGGCCGATTTGGCCTCCTGCTGTTGGACTGCGGCTGCGGCTTCCGTCTTCTGCAGGGCAAGCGCGGCTTGGGCTTGCTTGTGGCTGGCGATGTGCTGCTGGTTCAGGACTTCGTCTTTGGCCTCCTGGACGCGGTGTTGGGCGGCCATCACGCTGGCGGAGGCCTCCTTGGCGGCCTGGATGGCCGCGGCGATCTCCGCCGGCGACGGGACGTGGGGCTTGGCGAAGGCGTAGTTGTTGAAGGCGAAGTCCTGGGGGTAGCCCTCGAAGGCTACGCCGCGTTTGACTGGGCCGCAAGACGCGGTGGCGAAGAGCAGAATCTAGAAAAATATCTTTTTTGGGGCTTCAGGGGGATTAAGCTACTTACAAGTGTGTAGTAGTAATACATGATTGGGTTTGTTGTGATTCCTCGGAGAGGACTGTGGGTTTATATATAGGGTGGTTTTTGTAAAAATCGGTTTGAATAAATATCGAAATGTAATTATATGACAGGAGTAAGGCAAGAAGAGGAAATTATTTCCGTGTTTGTTAGGGAATCTTTTTAGTATCACGACTTTCATTAAAATTCGCGGTATTTTAAATGAAATATAGCGAAATGCGACTAATTATTTAGAACGGAAAGGTGAGCCGAATTACGTTTTAAAGTTTATCTAGAGACACTATTAATTATTATAATTTAATACCGACGTCTGAAGTTCGATTGATGGGAGAAAGTGCAACATTTGCAAATATTTTACTATTGATTTGGAGAAAAAAGTGTTTTGGAAAAATATAATCTAATTTTGGACTTATTGTTTGTGGTTACAGTTTTTTTTAGGTTGGTGGAGTGTCGCGGTTTTGATCGTGTCTTTTCATCCGTCTAGCTTTCATATACTCAGACTATAAGTCGCAGAATTCTTATAATAATCTTTATGTACAACAGAATACATTTATTTACAATAAATTTTTGAATGTTAAAAGATTTTTTGCCAAAAATGGATTAAATATAAAAAATTTGAACTCGGGTAAAGTACCTATTTGTACCCTAATGTAAAATGAGCCACAAAGTTGTTGTTTGTCTATAAAAGAAGAATATGATGTGTTATAACCTACATGTATAAAATGTTCCGGGGAATCGATTGGCATCAAGAAAACTGCAAAATTCCTAACAGTTATGAAGTTATAGGCGGATTGATATTTTTGAATTTATCAGAAATTTTCTCGATAACTACCTATTTATCGTAGAGCACTGATCTTTTTAATATATGATGGAAAATTCAATTTTCTATCCAACGGTACCAAATATAAGTCCAATAAGTCCGGAGTTAATTGCCATTAGACCTCTCTGGGTGCCAAAAGTCGACCAAAATCTCGACAAAAATCAAAAATATTTTCAACTTTAAAATTGATCCATTTAACATTTTTTACATTTCTAGAGGTCTTAAAGACTCAAATAAGTGCATAAAATGTTATTGAGTCAAGTTTCAAAAATTTTGAATTTTTTGAGTTTTTCAAGGTAGTAAAATTATAAAAATAGTAAATTTACCTTAATTTGTAAAAACGCTTGAAATATGGTTTTCTAGACGTAAAATTACGCGCTGAACACGATGCAACAGGTTAAAATATTCTACGATGCATAGTTTTTGAGATATTGTGAGAATAAGGCTAAAAGCATAAGCACTATATCCGATTATGATCAAAAAAACAACATTTTTTTATTCTTATGAAAAACTAGTACTATATGTAAAATTAACCGGAGGGCACGCCTGTCCAAACCGTTTTGACTTAGGACTCATAGTTTTTGAGATATGATTTTTTTTTTGAAAAAAACTAAAAATGGCTCTGTACTCGGAGCGACTTCCGGTTTGCGCCATTAAATAGATAGTTTTAAGCAAATTTTAATGGTTTTTAGCTTTTTGCTCTGAGTCTTATAGTTTCGTAGAAAAACGCGGTTAAAATTTCACAATTTTGACAATTTTTACTTTTTGAACGACGATTACAGCCAAACTATTAGACTTAGAGCAAAAAGCTCAACACCATCAGCGTAAAAAAATCTATCGATTGACACTAAAGCCAGGTCAATATCTCGCAAGAAAAAATTGAAAGAGGTCTTAAAGACTCAAATAAGTGCATAAAACGCTATTGGGTCAAGTTTAAAAAATTTCGAATTTTTTGAATTTTTGACAATGAGCGGTAGTAAAATCGTAAAAATTGTCAATTTACCTTAAATTGTTAAAACGCTTGAAATATGGTTTTCTATACGTAAAACTACGCACTGGACACAATGCATCAGGTTAAAATACTCTACGATGTGTAGTTTTTGGGATATTGAGTAATAAACTTAAGAATAGGGCGACAATCACTATATCCTATTGCGACCAATATTCAAAAAAAAAAAATACTTGTGGAATTCACAAATTTTGGTACTAAATCAAGAGAAATCAATACTTTTACATGAAACCAGAGGTGCACAAAAGAAAATTTTTATGTGAATTTATTTTAATAAAAATTTTGTAGAGTGTATGGCATGACTAAAATGACAAAAAATGGTTTGTTAACATGTGAATGGTGTCAAAATTAAAAAAATATATATTGAGGTGAATGACTCAAGGCAAAAAAGTTTTCAATGCCTTGGGAAAACATTTTAATCTTTGCCGTTTTAAAGCTAAATAAACTAGAATTTTAGTCAAGCTTAAATGTTTATGTAAAACTATACGATTACTTCGTTTTACTTAAACCTTTTGTGTTACTGTTTAATAGAAAATCATCACAGAATGACTCTGTATATGCAATCATTCTTAGCGTTGCATTGAGCAACGAATACAATTACCTTTTTTCAATGAACAATGACATTCACTAATGACAATGAATACTCGTGTAGCAAAAACAACCAACTTCGTGATTTCACACAAAATGCGACGATTTCATAAACCCAAAAAAATTCCTTTGGGAAAAAGAAAGGTCCTCGTGACTTTTACTCGCATCAAAGAAAGTAAAAGTGCTGGAACTTAATTATTTACCGAGAAGTCACGTCCAAACCAATCCATCCATAAAATGAAAACGAACAAATATGTTAACTGTATTTATTAAATAACAATAAAAACAATACAAGAGAAATAACACTTAATATAGCACGTAACAAAAATATAAAAAACTACAAATTAAAAGACTATTTCGTGATTGAGTCATCGGTACTCTTCGTGACGAACCATTTCTCTCTGAAAATTTTTTGTTTATGGACAACGGGCACGTTTTGTGATTGTTTTCCTTCGATTTTCTCGTATTTTGGTTTACTGTTTCCCTCCTTGACGTATTTGACGGACTTGTAGTGCATTTTAGGGGCCGGTCTTCCAGTTTTCTTCCCCTTTTTCCCAGATTTATCGTATTTACTACTGGTACTGTAATTTTCGCTGTATTTGTAATTGTTACTTTTGGAGTACTTCGCAGGTTTCCCTTTCTTCTTGTGTTTCTTCGGTACCGTTCTAGAGGAACCCCTTTCATTGTCTTCGTCATCGTCTTCTTCCCGGTAGCCCCCATGGTCATCGTCATCTTCATCAAACGAGTATTTACTGAAATAGTGATCATCGTCGTCGGTTTCTTCGCTTTCCTTATCATTCTCCTCCTCCTCTTCAACTTCTTCTTCTTTGTTGTTTTCAACATTTTCTTCAGCTGGTTCCTCCTCGGATTGTTCTTCGACCACTTCTGGAACATTCATCGGTTTGGTGATCTTCTGCAATTGGTGGGGTTGCGGGGGGTGGAACCTCCGGTACCCCATGGGTCGCAGTAAAGGAGCCTGCGGGATGAACTTCTGGGTACCACTCTGTGGATGCATATACAAGAAATTGACAGGTCTTTGGTACCCATTCTGCGTTTGTGCTTGGTTCGGTTGGTACAAAATCTTGCCATTGACATACAAATACTTTCCAGGGACGTACTGCTGGGTTTGTATATGTTGTGGTTGGAATTGAACCTGTGCAAAATTTTGCCCATGTCGGATCAACGCACTGTGTTGCACAGGCGCCGCCACTGACTCCGAAGGGCTGATGAACTGGGCGGGGCCTGTGTTCGCTGGGAGGGGACTCTCGGGCTTGCTCCCCACCGGTTGGTAGAATTGGTTCACGTGAACGTTAGAAACCGCATTGGTTGGTGTTTGCTGAAATTCGTAGAGGACTTGTTGGGCGGCGACTTGCTTGGGGACTTCTGGATCGAAAACTGGCTTGATGGTAACAGGGGCGTAGAAGGTAGGGGGGCCGGGGTTGTCCGGGTACAGCAAAACCGGCCGGTTTTCCCCGTAGGTCTGGACCTGATTCGCTATCGTGCGTTTGGTTTTGTTCGTGGCGGAGTCTTCAGTGGCGTTCGTGGCCTGGGTCCATGCTATTATCTGGAGAAAGATTGCAATCACCTGAAACGTAAAAAACGCGAAATTGAGGATCGCCAACCGAGGGATACTCACGATGAGATTCATCGTTGCAGTGTTTGGAAGAAAGCTGTGCAATGACTGAATTCTCGGTGCAAAGATTTGCTATTTATAGGTGTCGTGGCGAAAAAAGCATTAAACCACAAATGGTTTAATGAAATGTGCCGGTTAAGTGGTGGATTTTTTGTCGCGGAGAGATTTCTAAAGAATGTCAAGTTAATAGCGTCATTTTGGGGTAATATTGTAAACAAATCGGGCGAATTACTGGTCACACTGTGTGAGTTTTGATTGATTCGAGACGCTTCAGTGAATGGCAGTTTCAATGTCTTGAGATGCGTTTTTTGAAACTTGAAGGGATCGGGTGACGTTTTTATGATCACATCGATTCGGAATTGATTCGATACGTAGGTGTTACGTAGGCTGATGATATGTTGTTTTTTCTTAGAGTTTACTTTCATTTCTTGCTTATTTCCCATTGTGTGACTTCCTAAACTTAATTTATTATCTAACCCAACATAAGCATAAATGGAAAAGAATAATTTATACAAATTAGCTGAGACTAACAAAAAAACGTTTGCGGTTTACTACCGATTCATAAATTTTCGTTATCCACAACAATTATTATTATTTCAACAAGTTTTAAATTATTTTTATGAATTGAGACAGTTTGTCATACAGAAAAAGCAAAAATCGCTCTTATTTAAAAAGTTAAACGCACGACGGAGGGCCTTAATTTAATTCTTTATATTTAAAATTTTGTCCGAATTTGATTGTAGCTAGTTTTATATTTAGAAGAGTGAAATTATTCAGGATCTCTAAATTTTCTTGTTTGCTACAACAATTAAATAGAGCTTCCAAGATGACATAAGTGAAGATTAGCGTGAAAATGAAATTTTTAGCAATTTTTTTTTCAAAATTTTTCAATTTTTTAAACGATTGTGCTAACGATTTTAGTTTTACAATTTTTTATGAGTGAATTTTATGTTTTTTTTATCACACAGAATTGCACAACTAAATTTAATTTTAGTAGTACCTACTTTTTTAATATTGGAAGATTATAAATAAATAAATAATCTTGGAAAAAATGTTTAAAAGATTAATATTAGCCGTCGTGGATTCAGTTATAATTACTTTCAAAATTTGAAATCAAAATATGTATAATGAGTTGCATACAGGATGAACCAAAAGTAACGCACACAATTCATATTTTTGTTATGGTGCATTTTTTGCAATAAAATTCTCAAACAGGTCGATTTTATTTTGAAAAAATGCTACATTTTATTGTAATTTTTATTGTAACATTTATGACGTCATTCGATTTTGAGTAATGATGTCATCATTAACTTTTTTAAATGGCAACCAACAATTTTGTTGACTGTTTTTGGTAATAGGTACAATCTTCTATCCTTTTAAACGAAAATATTACCAAAAACAGTTAACAAAATTGTTGGTTGCCATTAAAAAAAATTAATGATGACGTCATTACTCGAAATCGAATAAGTGTCCTTCTATCTTTTGAAAAGAAAATATTACCAAAAACAATTAACGAAAATGTTGGTTGTCATTTAAAAAAATTCTGATAACGCCATTACTTAAAAATCATTGACATTATAAATAATAATAGTATGATGAAAATGTATTATTTACAAAAATAAAATCGATCTGTTTGAGGACTTAAAAAAATCACCCACAAAATTATGAATTTTGTGCGCTACTTTTAGTTCATTCTGTATTCTAACATTAAATAGACATAAAAAAGGTCAAATCTTAAAATATGAATGTCAAAATTATTGACAGATAGAATTTTTTAAACATTTTTATGTTCCTGGTATCTTATCTTACTTGCCATTTTTCCCTGGGACGCGAGTTCTGAAACATCCTGTATACTATAGTGGTATTATGATTATAATTATTTTATTATTGATGATATTATGATCGAAGCTAGAGATTCTCCGAGTTCGAAAGACGAATGAGATGTCCAGCTTCAATTTCGTAAACAAAAATGAAAGATTTTTGCCGATTAATCGTGTTATATAGGGTGTTTTCTTAATATTGGGAAAAATTGCAACCACGTATTCTACATCGAAAAATTACGCTAACATACAGATTTGTCAACAAGAAATTACCACCTAACTTTGAACTTTTAGGAAAATTACGTTTTTCATGTTGTTTGTAACTAGAATTTTCAACAGAAGTAATTTTCAATGTCTACGGTTGGTTACCCCTTGTTGCTGACGGTTGACGTTTTCTGTCAACCTGCTGTCAATCAAATAAATTATTATATATATAATGTGAATTATACATACAAGCTGACAGGTGACTTAACCTAAATTTTGACACTAGTTACAAAATCTTTTGTTTGTCACCAGAAACCCACTTAACCAAATTTATGACAACCTATTCACATTCACGAATATCCCTAAATTTTAGGGAGTTGTTGATAGGAAAATATTAAAATCCATTAGTTTCTCCAAAACCACTTGATTATTATTTTCCTAAATTTTACAGGCTTTGAGCCAATGAAAGCGCTTGTTTTCCGGCAATTACTTAAGTTGCGTAAGGGCACGTCAGTGGAGTTTTTTTTTATTACTGTTATATTTCGATGTGATTGCAATTTTTGCAAAATTAAGAAAACACTATAGGCCCATGGGCAGTTATCTTTTTTGGTAGAATTTAGTTTTGGCTATTAATTCACTATTTAAAAGAGTAATATTATTTAAGATCTCTAATTTACTTGTTTGTTATTAATTATAATAGTTAAATAAATACGATATTAAGATTTTAATTCAAGAAGGAGAAAATGAAATTTTTAGCAATTTTGTTCTTGATTTTTTTTGTTAGATATTTATTTTGTGTTCAATTGAGTAACTTTATTAAATTCAGTCAGTTTTTTAGGTATTATGTTGCTTGGTATACACATTTAAAGAGAGTAAATCATTTTTTTACAAATTTATTTCAGAATTTTCAATACAAATATAAAAAATAAAAGCAACAAATTACGGTTAAAAACGATTTAGAGACATGTCAGTCTTCGTCATGAAACCCATAAAACAAATCAACATTATTTTTAACTTAGCTCAAGGGTCGTATGAATGAAAAACCTTTCAGATCGACTTTCCTGTATTCAAGTTTCATTCACACGCCGTTATTTTTCGTACATTGAACCCACTTGGTCAAATGTTAGGAACTGACTCCAGTCTTCAGTTATAACAATCGAGGCATTTTGGGGTAAAAACATGAACCAAACTGTCCCACCCGCAATCGGCCAGTTGCCCCTTTCTGTGAGTATTCCAATCCAGTCCGTACACAAACTCCGAATGATGCTTAATAGTCTCTAAAGCGTCACAACCCTGTTTAAAATCCCAGATTCTCGTCGTAAAGTCGTAACTGACCGAGGCCAAAACCGCGGCGTTATGGGGCGAAAACTGCACCCTCCTGACCGCGTACTCGCACCCTTTCAGTTGAAACACCGGTTGAGTATAGTTCCTAATGTCCCACCCCCGAATCAGTCCGTCTGAGCCGCTCGTCGCTAGCATGTTTTCGTCGTATTTACACCAATCACAGGCGAGGACCTCGGCGTCGTGGACTCGGAACGACGACGTGGGGCTCTGGGGGTTCAGCGTGCTCCAGAGCTTCAAAGTCCCGTCTCCCGACACCGAGGCGAAACAGTTGGGCATATGATTCGAGAACATTGCATTGTAGACCAGCTGCGAGTGGCCACAGAAGGTGCTGATTGATGATTGTCTGTTGGGGTCCCATAATTTGATGGAACAGTCCCAAGACGCGCTCAAGATGAGTTGCTCCTGCCGCGTCCGCGACCAGTCCAGCGAGTAAACCTCCTTCTTGTGCTCCCATAGTGTGACAGGGGGGCTGTTAGGGGACGACAAGTCCCACAGTTGCAAACCGCCGTCTCCGGACGCACTCACCACGAGGTTGGGGCTAGACTCGGACCAAACGACGTCAAACAACCCGTCGGACCATTGGTGAGTCTGGCTCTCGATAAGCTTGCCCTCGGGGGTCAAATCTAAGATGAAAAGGGTGCCACCACCGGCCAAGCCGAAATATTGACTTGTCGCCACCACCAAACGATCAGGGTTGAAAGGGGAAAACCGAACGCTGTAGCCGTGCCGATTTGGGGTGAGATAAGTGGCCATAATCACGCACTTAAGACATTTTTAATCGCTTTAAGATTTAAAATTTAACGCGTTTTGACAGTTGTCAAACAGCTGTCAACGAACGTGAGTGACTAAAGCAACGTCTGATCGGCCTAAAAACACCGATTAAAATGTTTACACTCAATACAAAATGTCAAAAATAACGCAAATAGTTGTCAAATGCACAAACAAGCATTTACAGTTGCAACCAGTTTGAATTTGTTATTATTTTAAATATTTTTTAAGTTGTAGCGGTAACCACTTCCAAGTATGGTATTGCGTTTTGACAGTTGTCAAACAGCTGTCAACTGACGCAAGTGACTAAAGCAACATCTTATCGGGTGAAAAACTCTGAATGAAATGCTTCCAGTCAATAAAAATTATCAAGAATAACTTTAATGATCATTGAACGTACAAACAAGAATTTACAATTACAAGTGGTTTTGAATTTGTCATTATTTTAAACGGTTTTTTTATGTTGTATCGGTAACCACTTCCAAGTTTGACAACAAAAAAATGACATTTTAAGGTTATGTTGTAAATATTTTTTATCTGAGGATTAAAATACTGAAATATCGTTGTTATTTATTGAAAATGTGGTTTCGCTTAAATTATTGTTATAATTATGCCAAGAGAGTCAAGGTTTGTATGATAATAGCGCGTATTTGGTTTTCAACTTTTTTTTAGTAAGTGTCGTGAATGGGAAAAAGAGCGAAGGAATCGTTTAAATGAAGCTTTTGCCACGTTATGTAAATTATTGCCATGTTATGATCCGGCTACCAATCTTAGTAAAATCGATATTTTGCGTAATGCCACAACTTACATTGAGGAGCTCCAAGTCAAGATTAAAACCTTTATATCGAAAGATGACGATGAACCGGCTAAGAAACTAAAGAGTGAATGTGGTGGAAATTGGTGACACAAATTTAATCACAATTTTCAGATGACGAATTTAAAAAATTGCAAGAACGTATCAAAAAACTCCTCAGTAAAAATGAGCAGTTGTGCACACTTTTACGTGAAGCAAAGATCCCAATTCCGCCAGGATGCTCCCTTAGGAAATTCAAACCCCCTTTTCTTTGGTGTAATAAAATTATGCCTGAACAGGCCAAGCTTCTACAAAAGAAGGAGCTCGACAGTAAGGGAAATTTATAAAAATCTAGTTAATTAAAATTCTCATTGCAGAAGAAAATGATGCGTCAGCGAAAAAGCCACAAGGTCGCAAGTTTACAAACAAGAACAGGAACAAAGGTGGGCAGAATAGCACCCCCAAACATAGAAAAGCAATTTTGAATCGATCAGACCCCAAAAAACTGAGACCCTCAAAGAAGAAGAAAATTAAACCAATAGCAACGTCAAAATGTGTGATAGTGTTATCCCAACCGAATGCCACACAGCCATGTTACATCATCACAAACGCGCCTTCAAACAATATTTTAGGCGGTTCTTCCACTGGTGAGTTTTTTCCCCCCAAAACACTTGACTAACTCATTTTTTTAGTCATCACAAACTCGACTTTAGTTGCAAATCCGTTGGTGTCGTCCAAAGCGACCAAGACCGTTTCTTCCATCCCATCTCTGGGCCCTGGCACTTTGATTTTAGCCAACGGTACCATAATGCCGGTTCTACCGCAACAAACCGTCCTTCCACAAATCATCACCAGACCTCCACCTATCATTTTGGTACCAAGAAACCCCATTACCACCACTTCGACGCCCACAACAAGCACCCAGTCGGTAAAAACTGCCAGTAGTACCACCACAAGTGTCAAAACTTTGACTCGAATCAAGCCAAAATATTGTCTCACTCGCACAACTCAGGTTAACAAAGTACCAATTCCTGCTTTAACTTCGCGTTACTCGAACCCGGAAGTGGTACTTAAGAAAAATGAACCCAAAGTTAAGGCCAAGCCAGTAGAAAAGAAAGTCACCAAAGAGAATGAAGAAAAACGAAAAGTACCGACACCCGACGAAAATTCCACTGAAACTAAGAAAGCGAAAGTTGATGAAAACAAGGAAAAGGAAAAAGAAGTTGAGAAAGAACCACCTGAAACTCAGGAAGTGCAAACAAAAAATGTTGAAGAGGAGGAAAAGAGGAAGGAACCTGAGGAGAAACCTGAGGAACCTGAGAAACCCAGCGAACCAAAAAAACCAGAAGAGACTCTCGAATTGAACATAAATTCTGAATTATCGAACGATATTTTTGCCTCTTTGCAAGTACCAGCCGGGTGCCAAAACCCCGAGTCAACCTCCCCCACAGCGGCATTCCTTTTGGCTTTCCCTTTGGTGTCGTCGTTGACAGGAGTCAAGGTCACTGAAGTGACTGAAGAAGACAACACGGAGAGTCAAAGAGGCACCCCCACGTTGCTCCAAATCGGCACCATGGACACCACGAAACCCACCCAATCGGAAAGCCTCACTCCCAGTCTTCTAAACTTGGATAATTTATCGTTTTTCTCCTCGAAAGACATTGGGGGTTTTTATAATTCGTTTGAACCAACGACGACAACAGTACCAATCACAACCGTTACTTCAAGTGTTAGTAAAGAAGAGAAAAAACTCGAGTACACGCAACCGAAAAACCAACTAGTACCATATTACGATAACCGTAATTCGGTACCCATACCCACTTTCTGTAGTACCAATAGTACGAATTCGAGTTATCAACAGAAACCCAAGAATGTTGAAACCAAGCAAACAGCGTGTTCCAATTACAACGCACAGAAAATGTTCTCTTGTAACAGTTTTGAAACTCCGAAGGTTACTACAACGTGTTCGTACGCGAACCAAATCAAGAGTTACCCAGAACCGTTGTACACCAATAGCACCACTTACACCTACAGTAACACTTCTGATACCAGTTTTAATCAGAACTGCTATAAAGAGCTTCCAAAGACTGACAATAGGAGTTACTATTCCTTGAATTATGAGAATTACTCCGATTATAGGAAGAATGATTCGGGTAATACGTATTTCCCCACGTCAAATTACTACTCCAATGGGCAAAAATTTGGTACAAATAATACCACAAATGCCCAAAAACCGAAAAGTGTCCCTCAAAGTAGACCCCCAATCAATTGGATGACCACTCCAGATAACCGCACCCCCTCAGACTACGTCTTGCCCCAATTCACGACGAAAGAAAGCGATTTTGCCCACAATTCAATCTACCCTTGCAACACTTTCACAAATACACAAACGACCTACTTCAACACGAATCCCATGTACTCGAACACCAACGACGGGAGTAACGCACAAGAAACACGAAAAAGTCTAGATTTGCCCATTTATCAGCGCAACGAAATTGAGGAGAACCAATTCTCGTGGTCGCCCTCCAAAATCCCGCAATTCCTCGACCCCCCACACAGTTTCGTTTCGTCGACTCTCCCGACATTAGTTGGCGATTTAGCACTAGGAAACCCGCCCACTTTCGGGGAGCAAAAGGCGAAAAAACGGGTGAAGTACGAGGGCAACCAGAACTTTTTATCAGTAAGTCAGTTAGTTGATCATAATAAAGAGGTACCGGCGAGGACCACCACGCGACGGAATAGCGGAAATCGGGGATCCTCGGCGAAGAAATTGCCCCAAAAGGCGCCCCCCCACAGGAAGGACAAGGAAGTTTATCCGGCAAAGGTCGATAAAGGGATGAAACAAGTGGGGTATTCGAGTGATTTGTTTTGTGATGCGACGAAAAATCGCAAAAATAGCTACTCGGCTGAGGCGCTAATCGGGCACCAGATGCAAGGCGACGGGGGGCACAAAAACCGCCAAAATTATAACAATAAGGCCATTTCGGTGTCTTCGTTCCTCCACGACAATATCATCCCGTATTTCCCCACCGTTGATTTACCACAAGACAATTCATATATGCAACAAAACCAGAATTACCAAAGTACTTCGTTCACTCACAACTCTTTCATCCCCTCGACGACCACTTATAATTTCATGCACGATGTCCCCACGCATGATTACAGTGAAAACCTCGCTTTGTTCCCCCCAGTGACCAAAGACAAGAACTGTAAAATTGTCAATCGGAATGTGAGAGAGCAACAATGTCCTACAACACCGAAAAAATCAAAACGGAAGCATTCGAATGAAGGGAATCTTCCCGGTTTTGTCGATTTTCCGTTCTTGTCGATGCCGGGGTCGATCAATTCGCCGATTTTACCCGACGATTTTCATACACATAGTGGGTTTTTGCAACCACCGACGCCCCAACTCTATCCGTGTAAAAACCCGTTTACGAAGAGTAACGATTTGGGGTCGAGTGCGTTACTGCCGTTACCGCCGGTCCCGGGGACCAGGAGCAATATCCAGCATCCCGAGATCTCGCCCTCGATCAACAGTGCAGGGACCTCACTTACCAACTTCAACTTGTGCACGATTTTTCCCGAAATGAACAACAAGGTAAGGGCTCATGTGGTGAATTTTTATAATCAAAGTCTCGTAGAGTGCGTTGCCTGATCCTTACGCCGGGAAGGACCACACGAGGAGCTACAGTTCGAGCGTTCAAGTGAGTAAAGTGTCCTGTGACTTCAAAATTAAGTTGACAACACTGAATTTTTGTTTTCGTAAATTTGAGATATGTTATAGAACGCGTAGAAATATGTATTTCTACATGTATTTCACCGTTTTTTTGTTTTTTCAGTGTATGTTGAAAAAACAGGGATGTACAAAATTAAGTACCTCGTAGCAAAAAAAATATTTTAAGACAATTACGCATGTTTTTAGAATTCTCAAAAAGTTCGTGTAAAAACTCTCATGCTTTTACTCCTTTAACACAGAATATTAATATTATAGTATTAATATTCTGTGCCTTTACTGTCTTTCCATACAAGTTTCAGGACGGACGTTTCAATTATGTCTGAAAAAATTTTTTTTGGAATACTATATAGTGCATGAACTCCTGGAATCGCCTGAAAGCAGTGCCATAAAAAATTTGATCGCATTTTGAGGATGAAATTTTGTTGTTTTAGAGTTGTGCGATTTTTTTTAAGTGGCAACTTATATGAACTTTTTTTTGATAAAAATTGACTAAAATTTAAGTGGATATTCATAGTTAGCCTTTGAAAAAAAACCGTTTTACAAAGGGTTGCTATTTTAAAAAAATTAAAAAATTTCCGAACTCAAAACAAAAGAAAATTTATTTCTTGCTGAAACATCACATTTTTATAGCACTTAATCATTTATCAATTATGTAGTTTGTTCAAAAAATAAAAACATACATACTTTAACTAAAAAACGTTTAGTTACATTTGTTACATTTTTTTTATCTGCGATTTTTTAAAACATCATTTTAGTCTAGCGTAGCCCATAAAAGGAACGCAAACCCTTCACACTTTTATTCCAATATCAGAAGATAGAATAAAATATGAAAAATACTCTTCCTCTACCGAAGAATTTGTTTTTAAATGTTGATTTTTTCTAATTTGCGTTTATAATACGTTTATTAACGTCTCCCGTAGGAGTCGTTTATGGCTCTATAAAAGCACACTGTGCTTTAATGAATTTAGGGTTATTTAGTTTTTGGATGCCGCTTTTGACTTGTCAGGTAACAAATTTTGCGTTGTTGCTTCGGCAATTTCGCGAATTTCGGGCGGAGTGCAAACTAAATTCTGTATCTCATATTTTATTTATTATTATTATGTTGTAATACTAATAACTAATAATTTGTAAATTTTATTTTTAATGACAGACGGCAAAAATGACTCAAAAAACAGGTGGGCGCCGAGTGTTACCAACCGATACCAACTAACACAAAATTCTCTAGGCGACAAAAATATATATTTTTTTAATTAAAATAAGAAAAAAGGGGGCGAAAATTAGAAAAAATAGCATAAAATACTCGTTTTATAATGGCATTGGCGCACTCATCCCATAGAAAACTCGCCTACGGCTCGTTTTCTAACTTGGGATTCGTGCGCCAAATCAACCCTTATAAAACTTGATCTTTAATATACTATTATCGAAAAATAAATGTTAATAAGTTATTAGAAATTTGTGTTTTACTTAGAACAACTTACTAATGACGGTAATTGGTATTTTTTTATTTAATTTCCACGTAAACGCTACTTTTAGGTGATCCCAGAGGGGTATATACGCTATACAGGGTGTTCGTTTTTCAAGCTCCACCATGGGGATCTCATTTATTATAAAAGATACGAGGTCGGTTAAATTAGGGCAAAGTTGCGCATTTTTATGCTGAACAATAATCTCAAAGAAAATTTAATGTATCATTATTAGTTTTTGAATTATTGGAAAAAAACGGAAATTTGTAATTTTCGTTTTTATTTTTTCAAGCGAAAACTAAAAGACCTAGACGTTTTTAACTAGAACGTTCTTAAGGCACTTTTACAATGAAAAACGGTCAAATACTTGTCACCTATTTTTACACGTTCTATAGCATATCTCAAATTTACAAAAATCGGAAACAATGTGATGTAGAAGTGATCGTTTTGGCGTGGAATTACTCAAAAGTGTGACGTTTGAGTTTGATAGTCAATGTTGCCAACTTAATTTCAAAGTCATAGGCCACTCCGATCTTTGAAAGCATGGTTTGTTTCAGGTGACCTTCAACGATAAGCCAACGTTTAGTTTTAGTTACATTAATACCACGTCTCAATCCTACAACAATCAGTGATTTTGTTAGGCTTTCGATTGTACCTGATTCTTGTAAATAAAGAAGAATGTGATACGTATTTGTTTGTTTTTTTTTTGTTGCTAAGTCAACTGTTACCAAGAGACTTGACCACTTGACGTTCGATTTAACTGTCATTTGTTCCAGTTCCGGTGAAGTCATGCAGATGAACAGACGAATTCACACAAGACTGAAAGACTACTCTCTTGTGGCCGTCCCGCCCCCTCCTTCCAGATTCACACTGCAAGAATGGCATCTGAACAATTTGATGCGAAACCGAAACTGTTACGACCAGCAAACTCTGGCCGACCGAGTCTTGGCCGAAAGCGACAGAGTGAGGGACGAAGTGGCCGAAATAACCCTCCTGAACCGGCGCGAGGCCGACCACAAACTCGACGAAAAGCTCAAAGACATCCAGTTTAACATCGACGAGATCCAAAAGCAGAGGAAAGAGGTGTGCATCGAGATCGACAACTTGACGACGTACAGCGAGCGCATCCTCGACGCCATGGAGTCCCTCAAAGAGCAAGCGCTGAAAATCTGCAAAAAGTGCATCATTTTGCGCGAAGGCCGCATCGGAATTGATCTGGTTGGTAACCCTGACACTCGTTCCAAAACTGACTCGATTTCTAGTCAGTGATGCCAGATGAGATTAAGCGCTTGTCCCTAGATTGTAGCTTCTAAATTCCCTAGAACTACTTAAAAAATTAAAAAAGTACTATTTCATAGGCTTATTTTGTTAATACAAGGTGATTCTTTTAGGGCCTATATTAGAAACTTTTTAACTTCTAATGCAGATAGGAATTTGAAATTTTGTACACAACCCAAATCAACCAGTCTGAGTTCAACTAAATTATTTTCAAAATGGCTGAACTTCTGGAACTACGAGAAATTACTTTGAAATTTTAAATGGTACCCACTTATTTTTATTGCATTTTTGAATTCTCCTCTTTAAACTAAGTAAAATATACCTAGTTGTTAGTACTTAACTATCATAGTTTTTGACATATGTCAATTTTTTGGTCAAAATTTTCACTTACAGGGGTTCATTCAAAACATCACAGCTCTTGAACCCTTTGCGATAAGTGAATATTTTTTGTTGCATTCGAAAACCAAAGGTTCTAAGTTTTCTAGAATTTTCAAAATTGTTGACGGTCAAATTACAAGGCTAGTATGATTTTTTGAAAATGATCATTAACAAACAGCTTTTACTCAGTTTTTTCAAATGAAATGACTGTATTTTCTCAACGGCAATCAAAACTACATCAGTTTCTAGAAGGACTTTTATCAACATGTCCTATACCTATCTCTTATAGTTTTTGAAATAATCACAAAAAACATGTTAATGTTTTTATTTTTATAGTTAATCACGTAGGCTTTGGAAAAATACAATAAGATATACTTATAATTAATACAGATGTTCGATATGTTTACTATTTTCAAACAGTCCAAAACTCGATGGTGAACTGATTTGAGTGGCTTCCATTCAAGTTCATTTCGTTGAAGATTATTAAATGCCGCCTCAATTCTTTGTAATTCCGGATGGGTGTTGTGAAGACTAATAAATCTTTAATTCGTTTTGATCATTTTCCAAAGGCTACGTGATTTACTATAAAAATAAAAAACAAAACCACGTTTTTCGTGATTATTTCAGAAACTGTAAGAGATGGATATAGGACATGTTGATAAAAGTCCTTCTACAAATCGATGTACTTTCGATTGCCGTTGAGAAAATGGGGTCATTTTATTTGAAAAAACTGAGTTATAGCTGTTTGTTACATATCATTTTCAAAAAATCATATAAGCTTTGCAATTTGACAGTTGACAATTTTGAAAATTTTAGGAAACTCTTCGAACCTTTGGTTATCAAATGCAAGAAAAATTATTTACTTATTGCAAACGGTTCAAGAGCTGTGATGTTTTTAATAAACCTCTGCAAATGAAAATTTTGAGCAAAAAATTGACATATGTCAAAAACTATGATAGATAAGTACTAACAACTAGGTACATTTTACTCAGTTTGGAGAGGAGAATTCAAAAATGCAATAAAAATAATTGGTTACCATTTAAAATTTCAAAGTTAGCGCCAATTTCTCGTAGTTCCGGAAGTTCAGCCATTTTGAAAATAATTTAGTTGAACTCAGAATGGTTGATTTGGGTTGTGTACAAAATTTCAAATTTCTATCTGCATTAGAAGTTAAAAAGTTTCTAATATAGGCCCTAAAAGAATCACCTTGTATACACTATCGGCCAAAAGTAAAGAAACATTTGCGAATATTAAATATTTCATTGTAGGTGTATTTGATTTTTATATAATTTATTACAAGTAATTTGTTGGGTTATTCTTAAATATATTTTACAGAATTTAGTAAGAATTAAACTGTTGTTGTTGAATGAAAAATTCATTTTATTTTTTCAAGGGACAAATGTGAAGAAACAATAAATTTATAATTACATATAAATGTTACAGTTTAATAATGGGTTGCAAATCCTTTATGTTTAATTACCTCAGCGCATCTTTTCGGCATGCAATCGATTAATTTATTAATATTAAGTTTAGAATATATATTCTAAACTTACGTTTTTCCACGTAATTTTTACGGCTTCGATTAATTCTTGTTTTGAATTGAAACCTCGACTGTTTTCTTCTCTTAATTGACGATCAATATGGTCCCAAAGATTCTCAATAGGATTGAGATCGGGACTCTGAGCAAGCCATTGCATTACAGGTATTTGTTCCTTTAAAATCCAATCTTTTGCAACTTTGGCTGTATGTTTGGGGTCATTATCGTGTTGAAAAGTCCATCTCAGCGGCATATTATCTTCAGCAAAAGGAAGCATTTTTTCTCTTAAAATACGAAGATAAAGAAATCTGTCCATTATTCCATCAATAACGTAGGGTGGTTCTACTCCGTGACCTGAAAAACAACCCCAAAACATAGCGCTGCCACCACCATTTCTTGTTGGTCCATGAAAATGAAATGAAAGAAGACGGATTAAAAAGCAAAAATCTCTAAGTACACGTTTTTATTTTAAATTGAAATAAGAGATCCTAATTAAACATAAAAAAATACAAATTAACTCACAAACGTAACAAAAAATAAAATAAATTTTTAATACTTTTTATTGTTACAAATTTAAACAGGAGATGAATATTCATTTTTAAAACAAAAATTTTCTATGAACATATATCGAAAAATGCTACGCAAGCGTCTTTTAATAGGTTTTTTTTTCAATATTTCCGAAATCATTTAAAAAAAAAATAATTCAAAATTTGCTACAGATGATAACTTTTATACACCTAAACAAGTACAAAAATAAAATGTTGAAATTTTTAATTAGGTGCTTCCTAAACTAAATGGGATTAGGGTAAAAATTTACTCTAACTGTTTTGTCTGTGGTTTCTTGCCACTTTCAGCAACAAAATTTCATAGTTTTCCATAAAAAAAGGTCTTTTGTGTTTTTCCGATACAATTTACGGATTTTTAGTAAAAATCGGTTTAAAAATGTATGTTACAGACCATAAAAATTAAAAATTAAATTTGTTTTACCGTCTAGGACGCCCCTGATTAAAAATTTTGTTATTTGGCATTTGTTTGGGTGTACATAAAAAGGTACCAAATTTTGTAATTTTATCTATTCTATAATATTAGAAAAAACCCTTTAAAAAACGTACCTTTTTTAGGGGGTGTAGCTCCTTTTCATAGCATTTTTCAAAACACTTTTATCTTAAAATTCTATTTCTAATTTCTTAAAATTCTATTCTATTACCTATTTAAATTTGTACCTAACAATAAAAATGAAACACTGTATAATTAACACATAAAAAATTAATTCACAAAAATTTAAAGTTAACTCATTAAAATAACAAAAAAACTAAATTTTTAACATTTATAACACTATATAACAAAGTGTTCAGCATTTCCGGGGGGGTTTGAACCCCCTAAACCCCCCCTTGGGTACGGCCCTGATTACAACTCTTAAAGAACAATTTTTGTAGGAACTGTTTTGCACCGACGTTGTAATTAACTTTGCAATAAGTAAAATGAAAATGTTTCTTTAAAAGTAAAGAAACAAAAGTGTCCTTAGCAAAATAGTAAAAAGTTCACTGTATGTAAAAACCTTATCCAATTTGACCAAAAAGCTTATAAAAAATTATCTTAAGTAGAAGTAAGTCTAGTGCACATAAATCGTTTTCGTTCTTATATTTATATGAAAAATAAATAAGAAATTCAGTTGTTTCTTTACTTTTGGCCGGCACTGTAAATACAACATAAAAATATGTTAACTCGAAACAACAAAAAATCAATAAATAATATAACAATAAATTAAAATAAATTTTACTAAAGAAATAAAAAATAAAAAAGTACAAGGCAATTAAAACAAATTCAAATAAACGTGTATATTTAGATACCTGCTTAATTTTTATTTATACTTATAAATTATGGGATTTCATTAATTTTATATATTCGCCTAAAACATTAAATGAACTGCAATAATTAGTAAAAACGCAAACGGCTTTTAGTTATCTTGTTCTTTTTTTTGTCTTTACACAATTACAGAAAATACATTTTTGGTTTCCGCGTTATTATGTGCTAAACTCATATACAAATGCGCTAACTTGGCGAAGTTACAATATTCATATCAAAAATTTTTGTAATTTTTGAAACTATGCCAGCAGTGTGAAAAAAATTGAGATTTTCACTGAAAATGTAAAAAATCCCTAGATTATTAAGAAAAACTGAAAAAAAAATCCCTTTTTCCCTTTTTGTTAGAAAAATCCCTAAAACTAAGGAAAAATTCCCTAATCTGGCATCACTGTTTCTAGTGCCACGACCGAGTCGAAATCGAGCTACTCAAGGAAATCGACGTCATAGAAGGCGCCCAGAAGCTCCTCAAACGCACCCTCGAGCAAGCCAATGAGCAAATCCGGCGCCTCCGCTCGACCATCTACTTCATGGACCGCGACCTCGAGGACAAAAGCAACGTCCTCAAAATCGACGAGCACAACCGCGGCCTCAAAGAAACCAGCCTCAATCTGAGCATCTACCACGGCTTCGCCCCACTAGACCCGGCGTAAGCCCGCCCCTTCCCCCACTCTCCCATTTCCAGCGCTGTGATTGCAGGAATGTCACGGCGGAGGAGTGGCAACAGTTCACAACGACCAATATCGAGCGCGCGGCTAAGGAAATCAACAGTGCGCGCCAACTGCGATGTTATGTCGATACGTTGTTGACGCAAGTGATTGAGGATTTGAGGGACCAATGGCATGCGGTGAATGAGGCCTTCCGGACGAGGATTGAGGAGGTCAAGGAGGCCAAAACCAAACTCGAGACGCAACATTTCGAAGTATATAAAACGTTTCATAATAATTGACATTTCGGTAGGCGTTGAGAGTGTAAACCAGCTTCGATTTTAGTTCCAAAAAAGTTACTAATGTTAACGTTCTTTAACTCACGAATGTGGAAGAAACGTAAAACAGAAATAAAATAGGGGAGATCAAGCACAAAAACCACTTAAAAACGACATATGTGCAATCGTAGAAAAATAAACAACCTAGAATTTTAGCTACAAATGTTGCCACCTTAAATTTAAATTTCCATGACCTCCGTGATGTCAATCATTTTGGAACACTACAATTGGTGACATTGGGAGAACTTGTTTCGATTCGTTTTTGTTCCAGATAACTCGCCAGGCTAACGAGATGACACGTAATGTCACCCGATTGGAGAAAGCTATAGCAGAGAAGGAGGGGTTTATGGCCTTGGCTCATACAAGACTTGGAAATCGTGCACAGAGACCTGGGATTGAACTCTGCAAGGATTTGGTTGAAACCTCGCTGGTGAACGAAGTGGGCGAGTTGAGACAAAACGTAGCGAATTTGCAACACATGCTAGCTGAGGTGAGTCATGATTGGTGTGGTGGAGGGACTGTTTTTGTTTTTAGGCCCAAGCATCATTGCGATATTTGCTTAAAACGCAAATACAACTCGAGGAGGATATAAATGTCAAGACAAACACTCTCAAAATTGATGAAGTTGACTGTATGACTTTACGTCAAGGCATGGATTACCACGCCTACTAATAAAAATCAAATTTCTGGCCTTGAATTTTTATTTACGGACATTCAAAGCTAACGTTACATTAAGTTAACAACTCACACAGCCTAAGTTTAGTTAGTTTTTAATTCCTATTGGAATGATGGATTAATGATTAAGTACTGTATTAGTCCACCGACGCTACCAAGTAAAAAATTAAATAAAAAAAATAATAATAAATTACACAGTTCAGGCGGAATGAGGTTGATTATCAGACCTGAAACGAAAATACACTTTGTGCACGTGACTTTGCTCTCATTTACCTTCCATTTTTGGGTTCCTTTTCCGGTTTGCTGAGATCAGTTTGTAGTTTGACTTTATTGGGTCGCCTTTGACTTAGTAAAGATGGCGTCCAGCTAAAACCATTGGATGATGATGGTTGTACATTACCATCGACGTTGTCACCCAATGGTGGCGGTGACGCTGGTTGTGGTAAAGCGAAACCAAGTATGCGTTCGGCCCCCTTGAGGGGTTTCCGTTTCGTAGAATGTTTCTTGCGATGTTGGTCATGTTCAGGGTAGCAATTAATCGACCGCAGGAACGACTCCAAGGGCCCCATCACGGACTCCTTCGTGTTCAATGGTACAGTTTCAGTCCATGATGGGTTGGCCGCAGCTGCACCGTCACTAGTGGCGCCCCCTTTGAAGCGTTTTCGCAGCTTTCTACGATTAATTACGTCAGGTACGGTCGGCGATGGTTGATCTGTGAAACGCAAGGTATAGTTGAGTCATACGGTAACTTGTGGTTTACCATCGCTTTTGATTGATAAGTTGTCTAGGAGAACTAGATCGAGGTTGGCGGGGGGCAAGTCGGTTTGAGAGCGAGTAGTAGAGGGCACTGAAGCTGCAAATGCAAGTCAGTCAAACACACCTCTAGTGTTGGAATTTACCGTTAGGTGTCATCTGTGGCGAATTCTCTAATCTATCAAACAGTTGCAGGAGCATTAATTTGTCTTCAAAGGAGTTACCCTCGGTGGGTGACAGAGCCGTGGCTCCTGCAGCTGCAGGACTCGAATCACGCATCATGAGTCGCTGCGTCATTGAAAATTCCGCATACTCAACATCATTCTCCCCTATAAAAACACAAAACATCCGTTTAGTTCAATACATTTAATGGGACGAAATTACAAAATTTTAGGGAAATTTGGTTTTAGGGAGTTGCCGGAAGGGGGGAATTACCGTCTTTTTCGGCTGCTTCGTTAGTAGGACTGTTAGAATTTTGTGAGTAATGCGCATTTCCGTCACCGTTACCTTTAAAACCACCAAGAAAGTTACTCAAACCCCAGAAAAAAGTCAATTAATCACCTGACATTGTCTCGTCGTCGACGTCGTTTTCATCATTTGAATTGTCTCCAGTACTGATCAAGTTCACTTCGGCCGGTTCAAACTCCTCCATCAGGTTTTCCGGTTCGCTCAAATCCTGCAATTACCAAATGGTAACAGAATTTTCTGATTATTATATATCACTCACGCTTTCGCTACTGCTACTACAAAGCGTGAACGAAACGTTCGAATTCAATAAATTCGGAGAACTGAGTGAGCCCCCAAGTGCCAATAAATGTCGGGGAGTTGCGCCCGCCGATTCGTTGCCTGTCTGGCGTCCAGTTTCCTTCTTCTTCGTCAAAACTTGCGTCTGGATTGAACTCGAGGATGATGAACCACTTGTGTTATTCGGGCAATCGCCAGGCCCCGTCGTAGTCGACCCTTGCTTCCTAGAATTTCACACTTGTGACGAAAAATTGAATAATAACACAGTTCAACAAAATTTAACTTTTTGTCTGGGGTTTGAATTATTTTGGATGATTATGTAAACTGGGTGTCCCAAGTTTTAGGGCCGGCGCAAAAATAAATATTGCTAATTGATTAAAAAAGAATTTTGATAGTGTAAACGATAGAGGATTATCATCTGAGGATGACCACTTTGTGGTTGAAACGCGTCGAGTATAAAATAAAAGTTTGGTGTAACGGGTTTGTGTTTTTGTTCATCATTCCCATACCAAGAGGATCCAATAAGAATCACTCAAAATCTACCAATTTTTACATTTTTCACTTTTCCCAGTTACTATTAGAAAAAAAATCAAGGAATTTTATCATGTAAAAAAGATTCCAATTAATTAAAAATGCTTTTCCAAATTTGGTTTTTAGGGTCTCACTGACATACGCTAAAAATTTTGAAAATTGAAGTCTATAGTTTGCACTAGAAAAAATTTTTTTTAATCAATTAAAAATATTTATTTTTTCGACACCGTCAGAACTTTGACATCAGAATTTGAGACCCCGAAATAAAGTTCAAGAAGCGTTAATTCGTAAAGTTATGATTATTTTGGCATTTATTCTCGAAATTGCTCAGATGTTTATTTTTTTTAGGATATATTAACTAAATGTGTACACATTTAAAAAATATTATTAGAATTTTTACACTACCTAAAAATTTGTAATCGCCAAGGCGAAATATAAAAAAATATAAATACATTCAAATTTGCTGAAATTTTGGTGTTTTATTAGTCTGGAATTGTTTTTTTTATACGGACGTTAACTAAATATCCACTACATTGATAAAATACCCTTAAAACTTTTACACACCGAAAAATTTTAAACCACAAAGTAAAATTAAAAAAAAATTAAATTACGAGAATTTGCAACAATTTGAACATTTATTTATTGAGGGTTTAGCATTGATTTATCTAAATATTTAATATTCTAACTATAGATTGACAATTTTGAAGAGAGTCTCGAGATGCACAGCAGTCACCATGGTGACTTGCATACCTAGCTTTAAAAAACTATTATTTTTACTTAATTAATTTCTCAATTTAACATCTAATTATGTCAATAAAATGCTTAATAGATTGCCTTTCATTTGAGGTATCACAAGAGGTACGTTATCATTAAAAAAAAGTTGAAGGGGCTGTGAAAAGAAGAAGGGGTGAATCTTGGTAATGTGAAGTGCATCAAATTTTGCATTTTTTTAAATTAAAAGTTGACTTATTGTAGGATTTTTACCAACTAACATCTCTTAGCAAGTTACAGCTTCACTTCATTACTTTTTACATGTATACTTATGTAAAAACTGCATATACAGGGTGTTAAAAAAATTGTAAAATATTTAGGGAGGTAATAGTATGGACCAAAATAAACCAAAATAAAAGTCCTAATAAACATCGGTCCGCAAAGTTAGGGTTGTGTAGATATCGAATGTGAAAATTTTTAGAATTTGTTCTAGAAGATTCTCTTTTTTGTTTGAACAGATTGCAAATAAATATTTCAAAAAATACATAATCTTCCATATCTCGTTACTTTGCGGACCCAATATTTCAATATTTTACAATCTTTTTTGAACACCCCTGTATTTTGAAAACTTTGGGTGATAGAAAAAAAAATATGTGTTGATATATAACATGTTACTCCTCACCATAAAAAATTCAAACCCCAGAATCATTTTGAACTGTGATAATTAATAATACTCTTACGTATTAGCATTGCTCATCAAATTCTTAGCCAAGGCCGTAATATCGAATTTTTCCGGAACGCCATTTTTCGAAGTTGACGGCATTGGTTGAGTTTCCTCGGGCGCCACTGGTGTCATATTATACATACTTTTGACAATACCAATTGTGGCAATATCGGGGATTTGTGTAGCAGCCCCCAGTGTGGCCGCAACAGCATTTCGTGAGATTTCAGCAGCGAGACGTTCTTTTGATTCGTTGATTTGTGAAATGTATTGGTTTTGAACGGTTTGTAATTGGTTGATATACCATTGTTGGTCACGGCAACGTTGATAGAAAGTAGGCGCGCGCACCTGAAACCTATCACGTGGTTAGTTAGCCACGCCCTTGAAACTAACTCTACCTCAAAACAAGTGTGTCTGAGGCTACGTTCAAGTAACCCTCGCTGGCTAGAAGATCCAATCGAAAGAATCGGTTATAACCCCAACACTCGCCAACTTCGAAATCGGATGCAAATTCACGTACGATATTTTTCGATGAATCACGGCTTGCTTGATGGATCATTTCAACCCGATATTCGTATTTCGACGTTTCGGGATATCCAGCGCTCAATTCCAAGAAAACCGACAAATAGTTGCCCCGGACTACACCATTGCCATCTGGATATACTTTGAGACGCCAACAGAGTCCATTACAGTGCAAAGGAGTGGAGTACACCGGATCGGCTTTTCTCTGCAATTGCGTGAAACAATGCATTACGAAAGTACTACTGTCATAAGCCGGGACAATTTCGCTATGAAAGTCTGCAGGAACCGGTGCAGTGACGAAACTCGTCATGGGTTTCTTCCTAATGGCATGGATCATCCGAGACAGCTCTGGACTTTTCGAGATCATCTCCGAGCGGGTGCATGTGTGCAATTGGTGCTCGATTTCGTGGAGGAGGTGCTCCAACTGTTCCGTTTCTTGCGTGAGCGAGTCTTTTTGTCCCATCAAAGTCAACAGTTTCGTTTTCAATTGCGAGTCGAGACGAGCAATCATCAGTTCGACGGCATTGCGAATCTCACGGACGCGTTCGTCCTTTGCCGAACGAACCGATTCGACGTTACGTTCCTAAACAGAAAGACTATACCATAAGTGTGACAGACGAGGGGTGAAATGTGGTGGAATTATGGTGGGATTACGTAGAAATTTAGAATTATTCATTATTAGTTTTATAATTATTTGGAAGTCTATTTTTCAATTTGTAAAAAAATGTCAGATTTTGACAAATTCACAAAGGAATGTAATTTAAATGTTGCCATCACTATGTTGGATACATACAGGGTGATTCTTTTTTATTGTTACAAATTTGAACAGGTGATAGAATAATCAATTTTAAGACATAAATAAGGATCCTATGAACATACATCGAAAAATTATACAAAAGGGAGCTACACCCCCTGAAAGGGGTGCGCCTTTTAATGTTTTTTCCCCAATATATTTGAAACCATTTTATAGAACGTTTCATAATACTTGACATCTCGGAAAGCGTTGAGAGTGTAAACCAGACTTCAATTTTAGTTACAAAAAAGTTACTAGCAATGTTGAAATTTCACTATATCTGGTGATTTTTATGCTAATCTAGTGTTTGTAAAAACTCTAATAACTGCCAATTTTTTGGAAATGTTTTTTTTTAATTCCATTAAAAAAAACAGACTTTAAGTAAGCAGAAAATTAATATATTTTGAAATTATTCTTTTTAATCGTGTATTCGCCTAAACATTTAGTAAAATTTACATTTTTGCGTAACTATCAAGAAACAAAATTTAATTTTTAAATTAAGTAAAAAAAAAGACACTTTTTTTGTTTTTTTTGAGAAGTTGTACACTTTGTTACCTATTTCCTTTTTTTTTCTTATATATATAAAATAGGTAACACCTTGGCAGCTCGTATTTCGGAGGAGAGCTGATCGTGGGGTTTTTCTTTATGGGCGCCACCCAGTCGAATAAAGGGCCTCTAGTACCACGTGACTGGGAACGTAGCACTCAGCCGACAAAATAAAATAATAAATTAAGGGATATATTTAAAAAATTAAAATATAATTTGATAAATTAAAATTAAGTTTAGATTCAAAAAAAAAAAAAAATGAAATATAGCGCTATATCCCTTACAGTTGTGAAAGTAAAAATTAAATTGAAAATTCTAGTTTAATAAAAATAAATTGTAGTGTATTAAAATGAGTAAAAAAAAATGTATGAAGAAGATATTAATGAAATTAAATTTAAGAGATATTTAATAACGAATAAACCGCAAAAT